TTCTCATGATCCCATCAGATTCAGTTCGTTCAGTTCAGCATTCTAATCATAGTAATTCAATGCCGTCTTACACGGGTTCTAGACTGGTTTTGCTGTAGGGCTTTCAAGGGTTCTAGGGTTGACTTCGGAAGGTTTAAGGCCTAAGGCCGCAGGGAGGTCCCAGATCGCGAGTTCCCAAACGAGACCCCATGGGACTGAAAACCCAAATCGAGCTCTACCTATAGTCTTCATTGTAGTTCCTTTTTGGGGATACCTTATAGAATCCTTAATATATATTTGGTTAATCCACAACTGCAATGAAAAAAGCTAAATGCGAAAATCTGTAATGCTAGACTCCTAGGCCACGAATGCTAAAGGCTTCAACCGTAAAAGGTTGCAGACATTTAGGCCACACGCGAAGGACAAGTTCCGAAATCCGTGCAATCCATACATCCCTCAGATTGAAAAATGCCTAAGCCCTGCTCTAAACCGTTCACCCTGAAACCCAACAACCCGAATCTGAAATCCTGGGCTGAATAGCAGCCCTAAGCCCGAAAGCCAAGTCAAAGATCCGACCTGACTGCCGCCCTGCCCGGCAATCGAGCGGTCGACGCCTCGGCTTCATTTCACATTTTGGGATTTACGCTTTCGGTTTCAGTGTGTAGGATTTCTGGCCAAAGGTTGATGGGGGATTCATGGCTTAATAGGAGTTGGGCATGTAAGGTCTCGAAGATATGCTGCTGGAGTGGAACACAGTTTCATGAGTCAAGATTTAGAAAATTGAGCCTTCGGGGTTTGAGACCTCATATAAGGTGTATGTAGGCTGCGGGGTGAACGAGTATATATGACGTCAGGTTGAAAGTTGTGGGGTGTAGGGATCAGGGCTACCGTCAGGAAATAGAAATTTGTGCTTGGGGCTTCGGGTTGACCGGGGCAGTGCTGAAAATCAGTGAGCAACTAATTCCACTACTGTGCTGGGCTTCGAGTGTCAACACAATTACGGTATGAACAGGTGCTGTCGAGGTCCGACGGCACGGGTGGAAGGCTTCGTATTGAGAATATTCCTGAATCCGAATCGAAATCTAATACGAATCCTTTTCACCAATAACAACCATAGTCAAACAAGCACAAAGCAATGAGTACAAGCTTCTGCTGAGGATATCTTTTTCGGTTTCGGGTTGAGGGATTAGGATCTGCAGGCGTAAGGCAGGCAGCCTATCAAGCGCAGCCATGGTTTTCTCAGTGGTTGCACTCGTGGCTTCATGCTCTCCCTTGCTTCCTTCTTTCATGCATTCGTTCATCCTTCATTTACTCATTCAGTCATTTGTTCGGTCAGTCTGCGTTTGTGTATAATGTGTAGTTACACGAGCGCGCGCACACACGAAAACCAGGCTCCAGGCATTGCTGGTGTTCAGCCGTGCCAAACATGACACCAGGAGGTACGCCTGCACGTCAGACTAAGGCTGAATCCACAACGTTTAAGGGCGGGGCTTCTTCAAACCCCACACAGGCTCCTCATGCTCACTTTCCCGCTGGGGGTCTTTGGTCTTGCCCTGTTTTAGATCCTCAGGGGTGGGGGAGTCTAGAGTGTCTAGAGTCTGGGGCAGAAGGAACAAAAGAATCTTGACGGAGGCAAAAAAAAAAACAACCTAACCGGCTGTATAAGGCGTTTTTGGCACCCTGGGTTTGGGGGCCTCATGCCGAAGGAACAAAAAGAACAAAGAGATATAAGACAGAGAGGCAAAAAGAAGGAAAGATAGAAAAACCGAGACACAGAAGTACCGGGAAAGAAAGAGAGGGTGACAGAGGGAAAGACACAGAGAGAGAGAGAGAGAGAAACACACAAAACAAACGAGAGACGGAGGAAACCAAGAGGGACGGGGGAACGCAGAGGTGAGATAAAGAAGACAAAGAGGAAGAGAGAAATAGACAATGAGGGACAGAGAAACAGAGCGACAGACAGACAGTGACGGAGAGACAGAGAGACAGGGAGAGAGGAAGAAAACGAAGAGGGCAGGGAAGCGGAGAAGAAAGCAGGAACTGGGCCGGGCAAAGGAAGCGAGACACAACGACGAAGGGCAGCGGAAAGGACTGGAAGAGCAAGGAAGGGAAGGGAAAGGAAAGGAGAGTTGAGTTAGGGAATGGGAAGGGAGGGGAGGGGAGCGGAGGGGAGGAGGGGAAGGGAATGAAACGGAGAGGGACGAGAATAAGAAACGTGAGCGTGGAGAGGCAGTCTGCCAAAGGCCACCGAGCCGGGGAGCCTCCCGAAGGGCAGGAGGTAGGGTTTAGGGTTTAGGGTTTAGGGTTTAGGGTTTAGGGTTTAGGGTTTAGGGTTTAGGGTTTAGGGTTTAGGGTTTAGGGTTTAAATTTAGGGTTTACTGAGGGCAAGGAGCCTGTCACAAAGGCACAAGGCCCAGCACAGGACAGGGAGCAAACCGCTCAGCTTGAGAACAAAGAGCAAACCAAGCGCGAGAGACTAAAAAATTGATAGAAAACGAGCAAGCCGCTCAAATGATGTTCGAAAGTTTGAGATAAAGGAGCAAACCGCTCGAAAAACGAGTGTGTTTGAGAGAAACCAACAAACCTGGAGAATTTGAGAACAGGAAGCAAGCCGCTCGAAAGAGACTAGAGGCTTTTGAGAACAACGAGCAAGCCGCTCGAAAGAAACTAGGGAATTTGAGCGAGCAAACCGCTCGAAAACGACTGAAAAAGACTAGAGATTTGAGCAAAAAGAGCAAACAACTCCTCAGTGATTGGATCATTTGAGCTAAAGCAGCAAACCGCTCGAAAACGACTAGAGTCTAGAGTGTCAGAACAAGAACCAAACCAAGCCAAAGAGACAAAGAGACTAGAGAATGTGCGAAAAAGGAGCAAACCGCTCGAACAGACTAGCGCAAAGAGCAAACCGGCCAAAGAGACTGCAGAATTTGAGATCAAGGGGGGAAACCAAGCGAAAGAAACTAAAACAATTAAAAGCACGGAGCAGACCGGTCCAAAGGGGCTTAGAAATTTCGAAAACAAGGGTGAAACCGCTCGAAAGGGACTAGCGATATTGAAACAAGAAGGCAAACCGCTCGAAACGGGCCAAGTAAATTTCAGGACCAGGAGCTAACCTCTCTTTTTTCGCAGTGCAGGCTGTCGGCGATCTTGGTCTTTCACCGTCTTAGTCTGGGAATCCATAGCGCTAGCTGTCATGCCGAAACTCGAAAGCCTGAACGCCAAAAGCGACCTACTTTCAAATCTGCTGTGGCGCCGGAACCTAGCTAACCTCAACTCCATGAACGAACACCGGCAGCTCAATCCTCTACCACCCCAAACCCCTCAACCCCCATTCCCGACGTCCTTCACCCCTCTTCCCCAAACTTCCCCGGAACTCCCCGAACCCCTAAACCCTAAACCCTAAACCCTGAACCCTAAACCCCCCTCCCCCCATTGAACCAAACTTCTCGAGGGCCCGGCTCACTCCCCACCGCGGCGGAGGCCTCGGGCTTGTGCCAAACAGAGCAGAGTACCAGCACGTGTGCATATCCATATACGTATATGTATACATACATATATATATATATACATAGATAGATATAGATATAGATATGCATATAGGTGTAGTATGTAGATTATATAGATGTAGCTATGTATGCTACAAGTATGCAATGTATGTATATAACATTCATACAACATATGAACATATGAACATGTAAGTATGTTAGCAATACTCATCTCATGTCTCTGCGACAGCCAGTGGCATTCCAGGTCGGAGCGCTGCCATAGTCTGGCCCCATTCGGGAGTTTCCAAAAATTAGGTACCTTATTTTGGGGTCCTTACAATAAGGGTCCTACTATTTAGGGTACTATATTAGGGTCCCCTGTTTTCGGAAACCCCCATTCGGCTTCAAGTCAAGCGCATCGACCGATCCCAAAGGAGGAACTGCAGCGGATCCCACATCAGACTCCAAACTGCAAAGCTTAAGGAAGAAACCCACAATCCTAGTCCCGCCGCAAACTGGGTGAATCCCGTACGCCCTACGAAACCCGTCTAATCGTCTAATACGCGACCCCCCTGACAAAGCCGCATAACATTGGCATAACACATCATGCGAATTTCGAATTCGGATGGAAGCCTTACCTACACCCTTTAGGGTTTAGGGTTTAGGGTTTAGGGTTTAGGGTTTAGGGAACCGACAAAAACATGCTCAATTTACTTCCGGGCCGAGGACGAAGGTGACGATGCCCAGCACCGCAGCGAGGAGGGCACCCAAGCAGCCACCGCACCTCGGTGCCATCTCGAGCCAGTCGGATTTAGTTGCGAGTTTGTAAGATCTATGCATCTGTCCAGATTGCGTGAAATGATAGAAGGGTCTTCTAAAGCTTCTATATATTATGAGGCCGATTATGTAATAGACATATCAGGCTTTAATGTGTGGGATTTGGATCTTTACTTATGAAGGTTGCTGAACTCAGGAATCGCCGAGTCATTTATGTCTTTGATTTTTTCGGTGTCCTGTTCCGGTTGTGCCAATCTGTCTACAGGCGGGCGCAGCAAGCACTCGCACGAAACTTGATGCAAGATTTGCTTAAACCATGGCTGCAAGTAGCAGGCCCAACCAGCGGTTGAGAAACGGGCGCAGGTTCCCGTTTCAATCACGGTCACCCGCAGAATCACGATAAAATTGACTGATCACATTGGTCAACTCAGTCTTCCATTGCTGTGCCGGCCCTGGCCATGCAAATTTTGCCACAAGCCACGCACTCGGCTGGTATGCTTTCCAAGTGTTAGTACCATACTATACTGGCGACATGAAAAGCCAATACAACTCTGTATTAATTCCAAAACAACCTTTAATTCTTTGCGAAAGGCTCCAAAACTGCTGTGGTCTATGTTGCTGAGCCCGCGGCCAACCACAGGCTGCCCACTGAGGAGCCGGATGGTCCTGGCACATTTAGGGCTCCAGATTTGCTGGTCTTTTGCAGGTCCTTGTGTAGGGCAACCCAACCCCAGCCCTTGCAAGCGCCGAGCCTTGCGGTCAATCTTGCATCTCCGGAGGCAGCAGCACCAGTGGAGGCTGTAGAAAAGGAAGACCAGGCCAATCTCGCGAAGAAGCATCCGAGTCCCACGCACAAGCCGGTCGACACTCTGTCTGCTCTCCCCTGTATGGGCCCTAAGCAGACTCAACTAAGAAACCCTAAACCCTAAGCCCTAAACCCTAAACCCTAATAAGCCATATGCATCTTTTTTCTGCGCTCGCAGGTGCCCAAATGGCGTCGGAGTCCGTGAGACCGGGTCTCCGCAGCCGTCTGAAGGTGACGGAAGTGCGGCTGCCCACGGGGAGCTCCTGGCCCTGGTACCTGGTATGCGATGTCAGAGTGCAGGCTCCCAGGAATGTAGGGCTGTGCGGCCTTAGGCTTCAGCTTGGGGTTTACAAGCACAGCATTTCCGCAGTGTTGCGAGTTTCAGACGACAGCTGGCCCTAGTGTAGACCCCCTATAAAGCTGGGATCATCTTCGTAATCTACCAAGGGCACCCTAGATTTCTGAATCCCCCGCGGTGCTGTATGGCCTGCAGTTGGGTCGAATACCATGCTTCCAGTTCCACCGTACTTTGCCGGAGAAGACGTAGACGGAACCCTCCTGGCACAGAGTTGGTTGAGGCTTCATCTTCCTGTCCCCAATCTGATTCTACTGAAGTCACATAGCACAGTACGATTCCACCCAAAACCCGCCACAACACCCTGATGAAATTATGAAGGAGACCCTAAACCCTAAACCCTAAACCCTAAACCCTAAACCCTAAACCCTAAACCCTAAACCCTAAACCCTAAACCTGGAACTCTCGAAGTTCAGCGCTCCTCGAGCAGCACTTGCTGACCGCAGCTTCGTTCAATTCGCTCTGCCGCGCATCCTTCTTCCTCCTCCGCCTTTCAACAAACATCCGAACCGAAAACTCGAAATACTCAACTCTTTTGCCCCAAGTCCTAAAACAGTAACCCTCGAGCGCTTTCAGGTATGGTTTCGGTTCGGCTTCTGTGGGTTTGGGGCTACGTTGCTCTTCAGGGTGTTCATGGGTTAAGGGTCGGGTCAAGAGATTCACTTGGACCTGGCGAATCGCTGGAAAGCTTTCCCTCAAGTCCAACGGCTCGAGGTCCATGACCTGGGTCGAAAGAGCGAGGGATTTTGCTTGGGAGGGCTTGGGGAGTAGGTTTCTTGGGCGGTGCTCTTCGCATGCGTGCGTTCGCATGATTTGGGCTGTTTCGGCCCTCTTTTTGTTGGACGGGACGGGTCTGGCTGACCTTGCAGAGGTAGGCAACTGAGCCCTGGGCAACTGGAGCACCCAGACTGAAGCCAACGATGTACTCCTCACGAGAGTCCCGATGCTTCTTTCTGCTGCTCTGAGCCAGGCGACCGCAGTACACCGTACACCCATTGCACACCAAGCAACATCGAAGTTGGCTCTGTCCACGTGCATCGGTATACCATCGCCTGAGTCTGTGTAGTCATGCTGAAGTGGGGAGCAGGTGCAAGACTTACTTTCAAGGCTACTGGGTCTAGGGCAGTTTAGGGTTGATGTAAGGTAACTCTAGACCCCAGACCCTAGAACGCATGCTGGTCTCCGAGTCTACGGCGTGCCTTCTGAGTAGAAGTTGACGATCGCCTGGTCGAACCAGTAGCCGGGTGGAAGTATCCCTGGCAAAAGGATGCAGCACGAGCACCGCAATGTCAAGCAAACTCAAGTATTCTTACTTGGGCATGCCCTTATCTTTCAGGAATGGCTTCAAGATGTGATGGGAAAAAGCTCGTCAGAAGTACTCGTCTTTTTACTCTTGGCTGCAATGCGGTCATCATGACAGGCATAGGCGGGCACTGAACTGCCCGGGCGGACTTTCGGACCCATCCTCGCCTCTTTCTCGAAGTTCTAGCAGCATCGGCCCACATGCATCGAGGACGGTGATCTCACTTTCATGCCTGAGTCATGCGAGTTTGGGCTGCTAATCTTTGAACCCCGGCCAAGACGCTCTCCGAACAAGATGGAACAAGAACAGCTGGTCTTGACATTGGATCTTCAAACCCTCAGAACCAACTCGCCAATACTTGCCTCAGAGTGAGGGAGCAGGGGCACTCCCCAAAAAAGAATGGATCCGGGGCTCGGTGTGTAGGGTTTTCCGGAGTCAAGGCTTCTCTGCGTATCTTTTCGGCATGGCTTCCGAACTTCATCCCCAAAGTCGTCGGGAAAGCTCCACATGCCCCAAAACCAGTAAACCCCTTGAAAAAGAGGGAGGATCTTCGGCCATGCTGCCGGCTGTGCGGCCGCGGGAAGCCGTGCCAATGAACCTTGAGGATCCCTTTCTTCATGCTCAAACGCGTAAAGGGGCTCTTGGCTGAGGGCATAAGTTAGGCATTTTAAGGCTTTGGGCTTCAGGTGCTTGTGCTCCATGCAACATGGAGGATTAGACCGAAGAAGGTTTGAGGAGAAGTTGGTATCTTCCGGGTCTGGACACGAGACCAAAACAAGCCCCAACAAGAAAGAAGCTGAAAAAAAACCCTCAACCCACTAAGAAAAAGCTTCAAAAGAGTTCCAGAAAGCCCCGGGCGTCGCCGCCAGTGGCCTCCCGGTCGAGATCGTCTCATCGCCACTGGGCCCACTCTCCACCGCCGCACGCAGGGCTTGGACCTACAGGCAACATGCCAGGTACTATAGCGAATTTGCAATTGAACCACAAGGGCACTGCTTGGGTTTCGAGAATCCGAGAATGCAGAACCAGCATTTCAATATATAACATAATATAATATTCTTATGACTTATAATATATAATACATAATAGATGACAGATCATATATAATATAATATAATATTCAGAAGCCGGCCTGTACCTCGCTCAGGAAGCTGGGCGAATAGAAGAAGCCGTCCTCGGCTTTTGGGGACGCCCTACGGCTGCCACCAGCCACCAGGTCGACCAGGGATTCCCTCCATCCACAGTAGGGACCCCGAGTCCTATGAAGCCCCCCCTAGTTTAGGGTTTAGGGTTTAGGGTTTGGAGTTTAGGGTTTAGGGTTTAGGGTTTAGGGTTTAGGGTTTAGGGTGTTGCATAACGAAACCCTCTGTAGACCCCTGTCAAGCCCAGACCAACACCACCAGAAAGAAGTTTCCAATGCCCCAACGGCCCTCAAACTCTAAACCTCAAAGCCCCAAGACACCCCCAAAGCCCCAAAAGACCCCAAAGCCTCAAAAACCCAAAAACACCCAAAGCCCCAAAAGCCCCCAAAGCCCCAAAACACCCAAAGCCCCAAAAGACCCAAAACAACCAAAAACCCCAAAACACCCCCCCAAAAGACCCAATAACGACCCTAAAAGACCCAAAGGCCCCCAAACGCCCTCGGACCAGATCAGCCGGAAGCTCTAGGGGCGGACCCGAGGGCGACGGACCCGAGGGCGACGTCTCGACCATGGCACCGAAACCCAAAGTCCTATCCTAAAGGGACTTAGGTTTGGGGTTACTAAAGGGATTTAGGGACTTAGGTTTGGGGTTACTAAATGGATTTAGGGACTTAGGTTTGGGGTTACTAAAAGGGATTTAGGGTTTTTTATGTTACTAAAAGGGATTTAGGGTTTTTTATGTTTTAAGTGCAATGGCCTTTTCGGGATTTAGGGCCGGGTTTAGGGTTTAGGGAGGGCATGATGATTAGGGTAGGGTTTAGGGTTCAGGGAGGGCATAATCCTATACTAAAGGGCTTTAGGGTTTTTTTGAAGTGCAATGGCCTTTTCGGGATGCCGGCTTTTGTATTTTTTAAGAGCAATGGCCTTTTCGGGGTTTAGGGTTTTAGGGTTCAGGGCATGATGATTAGGGTAGGGTTGTGGGACATGTTGTGGTAGAATAATTGGGGAGCTGTAAACTCTAAGAAGGGAAGGGGGTTACTATTCGTAGTTATTCCGACCACAGGAAGGGGATGCTGAGGGGCAAAGGTTGAGGGTCCATGAATTTGGATTTTTGGCTCAGGGTTTTCGGCTCGGGCTGTATCAGGACATAGGAGCATGCTTCAGGCTTTAGGCATGACGGCAATGATCAGAAAAGGCCAGAGTGAATGAAGATTCCCTACGTGACCAACAACCGTCAGCTCTGCGCAATAAGCATGGCTACAAGCAGATTGTCACACCTCTCCTGAAGCTCTCATGCCTAAAACAACCGCTGGGTCACAAGGACAACGGCGTAATTGTCCGGCTCACATCTGAGACAAGGATACTGTCAGCAGGGGCGCACCCCGGCAATCGGCACTGCACCGAACTCGAAGCCCATGACAACCATCTCTTGCCTGAGGGTTTAGGGTTAGGGTTTAGGCCTGGAGGGCACAGGAGTGAACCTGCTTCCCCACACTGCTCGGATCGTTTGCTGAGAGCCGGGGCACAGGGTCAACGAAGAGATCCGACCCCAGGATCAGGGCCGCAGCCTTGGCTTCTCAACTATTGGGGTGCAGTGCTCTTCGAAGCACGAGAATCATGACGACTATCACCATCACTATCACCATCAAACATCGTCATCATCACCATCATCACCATCGTCGTCATCATCATCATCATCATCAGCAGCAGCAGCCGCCGTACACTGCCGCCGGCTCTGTTCATGTTAAGAAGCACTACAACATTCTTGCAGAGCAATAGCATCATGGAACATGGGTGTACCATTATCGACAAAGGCAATACCCACCATACCAAGGCATAACATCATGCAACTGCAACAGCAGGCAATACCGGCAACTAGGAATGATAAACATGATGCATCATCGATTGGGCACAGCTGCATCTGGCTATGCAGATTAGGAAGCATTAATAAGCAAGCAAGAACTACTTTATTTACAGTCTTGTGTTGATGGCTCTTCTGCTGAAACTGCAACTCTGCCTGCTTCCTGCTGCAACCGCCATCATCCACACTCCCCCCCCCCCTTTCGCAGTACAGGGATTCCGGGATGCCAGTACAGGACGAGGTTGCAACCCAGAGATACATGGACCTAGACCCGAGATCCAAACCCCGAACACTAGAATGTTATAGTATATTATGGTATATTAGAGTATACCATGGTATACTAAAGTGTATGGTAGTACATTGCAGTATAATATAGTATACTATAGGGTATTACGGCGTATTGTAGTATATGATGATCTTATATTATCTTACTGTATCCTAAAGTAAAGCCCAAGCCCCTAAACCCTAAACCCTAAACCCTAAACCCTAAATCCTAAACTAAAGCCCAAGCCCCGAGCCCTAAAACGCTCCTCTCAGCTCCGCGCCGGTCCAGCCTGAAAGGACTGCTGCAGCAGGGAGAGCGCCGCCCCTGCCAAGACAGAAGCTGTGAGATTTCTCAGTCACATGGGACTTTCCGAGAATTTGGGTACCTTATTTTGGGGTCCTTATAATAAGGATCCTCCTCTTTAGGGTACTATATTAGGGTCCCCTATTTTCGGAAACCCCCATTTCTCGGTCACATCCCATACCACGATCCCCTCCAGACTGCATCCAAACCCCGCCGAGAGATATCAAAGAAGACATCAAGCCACCCTCAGCCGAATTGTTCCACCACCCCAAGAGTTTGGGCAGCTTGTTTGTTTAGGGCCTATAGGGTTTACCTTAACCCCAAAGAGCCTACCTTTTTTAAGGACTTATATAAAGAAACTATAACAGGGAGCCCTAAAAAGGTAGGTTCTTCAGGGTCCAGGTAGGGCATGGAGCCCGGAGCACTGTCGAGAAGGCTTTCGGCTCCGCACCTGCGGAGACCACGGCTGCCTTGAGGGCAGAAATGCGGGAGCCCGGCTGTTCCTGGAAGGCTTTGGGGCAGAGGGCTAAGAGTTCTATGGGGGTTTGAGAAACGGTTCTATATGGAACGGGCCCAAGGAGGGGTTCTATGAGGGCTGTCTCAAGGCTCAATCAAGCCGAGCCCTTTCTGAAGCAGCCCTTGAACGAGAGTTCTATAACGGCTCGAAGGTTGGACCTGTCGCCATCGCACAACATACAAACAGAGCCAGCGACAACTGGGCAATAGACTGCTTGCAAGAACAAAACCGTACAACCTGCGGCGTGTGGGTTCCACAGTAGGACTTGCTGCTACTACTGCTACTGCTACAGCTACGAAACGACGACGACTACGGTTGGTAGTGGTGGTCGTCGTAGTAGTAGTAGTAGTAGTAGTAGTAGTAGTAGGAGTAGGAGTAGTAGTAGGAGTAGTAGTAGTAGTAGTAGTAGTAGTAGTAGCAGTAGTAGTAGTAGTATTTCTACTACCGACGACTACTACTACTACCACCACCACGACAACGACTGCTA